GCCAAGTAAAGGAGCTATTCCAATATTTGGTGTTGAGAAAGAGAGTGACTCTACTGACAGGCTAATATATTAGATGGCTGCCAACTTTTGCTTTCAGCAAACTGAAGGAGGGGTTGATAGGCTTATTTAAATAATCTTTACTAATAGGTGACTTATGTGACTTTAGTACATAATCCAAAAAGCATTTAAAGACTTGAGTGACACTGTTATAACAAAGGTCCTTGCAATTTCATCTAGTTATATAAACACATTCTCTCAGCTCTCATATTAAAGAAAAATGGAAATGAAACTGACACTAAACTTTGTTTCATTCTATCAACAATAATCATAAATGAAAATATGAACAGAAAAAAACAACTACTGATTTCATTAAGGGGGATATTTTACATAAGATTTTACTTTTTATATTTTTTAATCTTTGTCAAAATTTGTAATATGCTTACATTGTTTTTACCAGTTATGTACTGATGATAACTCAGACCTGAAGATGTTTTTAGTAAGTTAGAACTTTATAGTCTAGAAAACAGCACTGTGGTTCTAACTTACATGCACATTTTTGTTACAGAGAATTTTGAGGAATAAACTAATGTGGGAGGAAACTGGAATGGAAATAATGAGTTCAAAGAAAAAAAGAAACTACAAAATTTTCAACTCTAAGAAATAAATAGTGGTGGGTAGCATGTTGCTATGGTATTCAGTCTCCTATACATACTTTTAACTTTAAAATACTATGATTTAAAATATACTGCACATGACATCCTTTGCAGTGACTGCACCTTACGATGAAAAATGTTTAATGTCTACTTAAAAATGTAGTGGGGATATAAAATTTTTCAAAATTCTTCTAGGGATGAACAAGCCAAAATGTGTGAAGATCTCTGCTGTTGTGTTTATACCTGGCTTGCACTTCCAAACAGGCATGGAGACCCAACTGCTCTGAATACCTTTGTACAATCAGGAATTATAAACATACAAGGGTGCTTCAAAAAGTTCACAGAAAGATTTAATTCTGCTTTTTCCATGAACTTTCTGAAGTACCCTCATATAGTGCAAGAGCATCCTGGTGGCTAATACTCCCTCCTGGAAAGGATCCTCCTGCTTCCTTCTACCTTTTGGCAGGGGGGAAACTTGTACATTCCTTCCCAGCTTTCCACATATGCAACTGTTTGATCAATTTTTCATAGGAGAATATACAGGCTGTTATAGTATCTTAATACTTATCACCACAGATCAAACAGTATGTTATAAATGAATAACAATGGCTCTCAAAACAAATGGGAGAATTAATACACGCAAGAATCGGAACATGCAAGAACTCAGTCTTGTGGTCTGAGTCACCACTTGGCCTGTCCCAGGGCTCCGGTCTCCAGAGCTCTGAAGGAGAAGGGGAGGAGCACAGCCAGCCACCACCACACCCCAAGCTGCACCTCACTGATGATCTGTTCGCAAGCCTCACAGAGGGCAAGGGAGTAGGGCATTACTCCAGAGTTTCTTCAGGAAAACTATTTACAATCTGACCTTTCCAGGGCAAAAGCTCTTCTTTCCGTTCTTCCTCTGCCCAGCCACAGGCATCTGGAGGCTTTCATCAAAAGCTGTCCCATTTGCTAAGGCTCAGCCATTGGCTCACATGACAGTGGGGTGGCCTGGTCATCAATGACTTTCAAAAAGGGATGAAAAGCAGGGCCCTAAAATCATCAATTTTCTTTGAACAAAGTATGGAATAGAATTTTTGCATGAATACTGACTACTATTACACTCACCCTAGTGATGGTTCTTTCCAAATATTAATGAGTTAAGAAGCAGTTTCATTCAATCAAACATTTACTACTATTATTTTGCACTTGAAAAAAAATTCCAACTTCATTACAATGTATAATTGCTTTAGGTATTAACTGTCCACTGAAAGAACAAATATTAAAAATATCATTTATCAGGGCCAGCCAGTTAGCTCAGCTGGTAGAAGCATGGTGGTGCTGACATCACCAAGGTCAAGGGTTTGGATTCCCATACCAGCCAGCCACCAAAACAAAAAAAATATATCATCATCCAAATAGTTCTTGATATTAAATTGAATTTCAGCTCAAATGAACTTTGGCCAAATTTTCTAACTTAAATAGCTGCCCTTTTTTATTAAATATTAAATAAAGGCAGCAATTTTATTAGCTTCAATTGCTAAGAAGAAAAGAAACATAAATTCCAGCTGTGTCACTAGTCAAGTGCCCTGGGCATCTTACTTGACTTCTCACCACCTCGCTTTTATCTGTACCATGGGAATAACAGTAGTACTACCTCACGGATAACAGTGAGAAATGAATTCACACACAAAATGTTCCTCCTGGGCTAGGAAGTGCTCAATAAATGATAGCTGCCACTATTATTATTGTTATGATTCTTGTTGTCATGATTATCATTGTTACTGCTATCATAAATATTTCTGGTAACTGGTTTTTCCTAACTTGATAATTTAAACCTTCAATAAATAGAACCTCAGTAGCTGGAATTCCAAATTGCCTGTTATTTTTGCCCTCTCACTTTTTTATTTAAGGAGAGAATGACAAATTAAAAAATGAATATTTCAGGCATTTAGTTAAAGCATCCTCATGGACAGCCTGGGGACCAGCACACACCATTTCTACTGTTTCCCCATCTGAGCACTGTATAAAGAATGGTCACTGCATAAGGAAAGGTTCACCCTTCTTAATCAGCTAGGGAGAAACTTCCCCACTTGGTTATTTTGTTGGAGCACTATTTAACTTCTCTAGGCCTCGGGACTGCAGATCTGTAAAGTGGAAATAAGAAGTCTGTATGTTAGGGTTTGCTGAGAGTATCACATTGAAATATGCATGAACTGGACAATGGGTGACTACTGATAGATGTTTTGTAAATATTTCCTCAACGTTTTAAACAAGCTACTCAGATTTTCTCTTGATCCTAAGTTTACATGAAAATTCAGTTTTGCTGGCACTTTGGCAAATTAAACCTGGTGGATTAAGGATAAGAGTGCAAAAGGAATCTCCGCCCCACCTCGGACGTACTCAGATTTTCTCTTGATCCTAAGTTTACATGAAAATTCAGTTTTGCTGGCACTTTGCCAAATTAAACCTGGTGGATTAAGGATAAGAGTGCAAAAGGAATCTCCGCCCCACCTCGGACGCTCTGCACTCTTCATTTTTCCCTGTTCTCTTTTGTTGTAATGCTTCTGTGGAATCTGAAATTTGCGCTTGTATCTTACTTCCTTTCAGAAATAGCTGGGATATAAATGATAAGAAGGTTTAAGACCTAAGTCTGGGCCAGCCCGGTGGTGCACTGCTACAGTGCGCCGCGTGGGAGCGCGGCGGCGCTCCCACCGAGGGTTCGGATCCCACATACAGACCGGTTCCCGCTCACTGGCTGAGTGAGGTGCGGACGTGACACCGAGGGTTGCGATCCCGTTGCCGGTCCCGGTCCGCTCCGGGCGCGACACTGAGGGTTGTGATCCGTTGCCGGACACGAAAAAAGACAAAAAGGAAAAAAAAAAAAAAAAA